CATTAATGTCCATACTGATCAAGCCATTCATGATAATGTCCATAAAGCGAATTAGGTAGCGTTGTTTAGATAATAAACCTTCATTTAAGAGGCTTTATTTTCAGCAGGATTGTAAGTGTACTTATGCTCAGGTTACCATTCTTCATTAGACGTAGCGTACAGCTGAGGGATTATTCATTAGGTTAACAAATAGTAAGTTATCCAATTTGTGAATTCTAAAATCAATTAACTTTAAGGCGATAAATGTGTACTTTTATGAATTTAGTTTATAAGTTGGCTTAGGCCTTAAAATGTTCATGTTTACAAATCATTATATGATCTTATGTTGGTGTAACCGCTTCTCGTAAATAAGTAACCAATAGACATTTTGGAATTATGCCACGACAAATACAATAATGTTGTGTCATGAAAAGATAATTATTGCTATCCGCCAATATACATATCTTAACGTTTCCTTCTACGAGTATTTATGAGAAATATGTTTCTAAACGTATGTAGCAATTATAATTAATACATACGTGTACATAGAAAATATGTTGATTATAAGATTAATTCTATTTTTTAGTTTTGATTTTAGCTTTTAATCGTATTATATTTCCTTACTAAGAGTTTTTTAAAGTAAAAACATGTATCAAACTTTACAGTGCACAAAATAAGAATCGTAACGAAGAATCGAAATGATTGAATATAAAATCCATATAAAACATTTTTTTTTGTATTTGCAATTCGCTTTTATCTTTGTGACATACGACATATACGATTTGTAATGCATTATTTCTCAAAGGGACAATTGTTATCGACAATTTAGTTATTATGCCGTAAGAATAGTATTTGTGGATACGGCGCGGCGGCGGAACAAATAGGTCCGGTAAATCGAAATGATTGATTCTTTGCCTGTTTGTAGGGAGTAATCATAATAAATTGTCATACTCATGCGTCACTGAGCTTACGATAGTGTGAGAAATCACTATGAGACACTGATTTATGGTTGTCTGGCATATAATTATTTAGCGATGTCCACTATTTAATTATACCTTCTATTTACTACAGTAATGTATAGAAATTTTAACTATATTAGCTTACTATTAACGATATGACGACGTGTAATATAGACATGAATCTAGCTACGGCTTAGGATGTGCTCAGTATTAATCCTTATATTATTCAGAGCATTTTCCACGTATACTTATATTTTAAATTTATCGGTAGGTATATAATAATAAGATCCAAATTTTAACTTTCTACAACGATTAGTGTTGAATAATTAATTTAGTTTAACCCTGACCAGACCTTCATTAGACTACTAGATGCAGACAGAAGTTCCATACTTTCGTTGTCGACGGGCAAAAAGTCAAACGGCCTATTTTTTAGTTCAAACCGCCAATGATGATTGCCACAATTAGAATCCTGGAACATTTCTCGTGTAGAGTCAATACGTGTGTACTTGATATCTAATCTTAATCTTCGTTAATTTTGTAGATATTTTTTGAACACGTTGATACAACATTTTACAGCAAATGTTTGATTAAAATCATAACGAATTGAGTAGTTGTAAAAGTAAAATCTGAGTAGTTGTAAAATCGGGTTAGAAGTTGCGTATATACATACAATAATTTACTTTACAGTCGGCATAATTAAACTACATTGAATAAATAAATAAATTTTACCATAAAATGAAGCTTCTAGAGACCTATTTAAACGAAAAATTGTTCTGGAAAGTTAGGAAAAGTTTTCTGTTACTATTCAAAGAACTTGAATAATAGTCTACTTTTAATAAAATCCTCTTAAACAGATAAGTTATACAGTTCTGGTCGGTTGAGTCCTTTTAAGACGTATATTCAACTAATAAAATAATGAGATATTTTATTATGTTAACACGGATTTTTAACATTATATTTTAAATCAAGTCTGTGATGAACGTATTTTACATTGCACACTTACTAGTCTTCTGTGGGAATCGAATCTCCGAGTTGAGTCAGAAGTCGCAGTCTGTTATATTCATATATGTGAATCCAATTTTTTCAATACTTCAATCTTTTAGATACACTCCAGGAGCTTTTATCTTTTAATGAGAGAGGGTGATATAAACCTTTGAGAGTTTGTTGATATACAAATGTGTAGAAGCTTTTAAGGCTACACTTTAGGACATCTTTTACGTCTGAAGGCGACAGAACATAATGAAATTTGTTGGAGTCTCTCATTTACTTATAGTAACACAAAGTTGTGAATATTTTATTACTGATGTCGTTGCCTCTAGGTGTAAGATTTATTTTACTACCGACGTAATCTGCGGGCGCACTTTACAGAATAAAGTTTTTGGGTTCTATACTATAAGAGTATCTTATTACAGCGTCATAAGAGAATTTTACTACTTACTTAGAGTACCTTCTTATAACTCTATCCCTTTCTCTTTTGCAACCCTTCATATGGCCAGTAGGAAAACACAAATATAGAAAAATATGCTCGTGTTGTGGCCTTTCTTAAACCGGTTCTTTCTTAAATCCTGCGAAGATATTAGAGATTTTATCTTATTTTGTACCAGGCGCTCTTTGGAAGATTCAGTGAGGGACATGGCAGGTGTATCATTATAAAAGTACCATGAAAAATTTTATACATACGTCTCCCTATTCATACAAATACATCATTTCACAAAACATCCGTCTTGTTCTACGAAATTAATTTACTGCCTGTCTTGTCTTGTGTTATGAAAAACCTATATTCAGCATGCGTTTCAGTTGTAGTCATATTTTTCTTGCATACAGACTAATTAAAACTTATAGTTACAAATTCAGAATTTGCAAAGCTCTTATACGGAACTCTAAAAAAGGGAACGCTGATGATCTGCCGCGCTTGACACTTGGCCCCGTTTTAAAGACGCCCTCAGCGGTGTACTGTATAAATACCTATGTAGATATTAGTTATATTAATGCAACGCACACATACAAACCAGTCGTGAGGGTATTGCTCGCGTTTTCAGGTCAACAAGTTATTGTAGATCGGCTTTGCTTCATAAGTGGATGTTTTTATTTTCTGGTTGGCGGTGGTGTACCATGATAAAATATACCTAGGTAATAGTTTACTATTATTATGATTTACTATTAATAAAAAATACTACAGAATACAATTAAATAATACTTTATTACAATTTCTGCTATTTACAACATGTAGTATATTACGTATATTTACAATTTTTCAGTATCTTAAGGTTTATGAATGAACATAAAACGATGTCATTGAGCAAATTATAATCTTTGTGTTAACAAATGTCTTAATAAAGTATTTCATTCAAGAAAACATCCTCCTGACATGACCTTCAGATTTACATTGAAATATCATATATTAAAATATAGTCATCTTAAAGTACCTATTTCCTATGCTTCACTGCTAACTATCGATAAGAAATACGTAAAAAAATAATGTTGTAACTTACCAATGAAAGCAAGGCTCTATTAGACCTACTCCGCCTACTACCGTCAAATAAGGACTAACTAAGACTTACTCTGTGTACTTATTAGATGTAGAAATTTTTTAGTAGGTCTTCGAAGTTTTCATTACTATTTTAGTATTAAAAATTTGTTTCTGATACATTGTCAATGTACATACATGATTCATGATTACTGTTATAGCAGGTCTTTTTAGTGGTACATCTCTTGAAATGTTCTGTAATTTCCATTCATATCGAGAAAATGCTTATAAAAATGTTTACAAAGGGAATTTAATAACACCACGGTATGTAAATATTACTTTAACTGTAAATATGTTGAATTTTGTAATAAAAATGTTTCATACAAAAATCGTTCAAGGAAGTTCACGGCTTGTACTTATCCGTGCGAACATTAAAATATGGTATTTTAATGTAATGTTATAAATTATGTTTAATTTATTTAGATCAGTGCCACATAACACGCAATCAATAAAAGACCTAGTCTGGTCATTAAACAATGAAAAAATGGTTTATGAATTTACAAGGAGTGACAGTACTGGTAAACTAAAATGATTGATTTATTGCATGTCGATGCGCTTGCTTATAACCAGACAGTAATCACAATAAATTATCATATCCTGATACGACGCCGAGTTCTGACACTCAGAAATTCCTACACTGATATAGAGTACCAGTATACGTACTATTTTTAAGCTTTCGCCTCTGATTACCTACATATAATTATGTTTACGTATGGTAGTTAGCACCATAAAAAAAATAACTATTATACCTATACCTTGAATTGAAAATGGATTAACTACATTGCAGTTTTTGACCGTACGCAGTATTTATTAAATTATTTTGCGTAAAATGTTCTGTTTACTTATTGTGATATCATTTTTCTTAATTTTCAACCAAAAATATGAAAAATTAAAAAGAAATGAATTTTCCGGCAGAAAATACCAATGATTTTCGACTTAGAATTATGGTCTGAATACACCATTTCAGTCTTCGTTACGATGTCCCTTAGACTCTGTATATTATATAACACAATTAGGAATGCGAATGTGAAGTTGAAGTTCAAATTAAAACGGATTTTATTTTCACAACTTGCACCTCATCGAGATTCAAACGGCAAAAAAAAGCTAACTCAGTATCTAAATGACCCACGTACGTGACAATGTACCATTTCTAACTTCAGATAATAATAAGACAGGTACTAAGATGTAATAGAGTGTTATGTACATACTGAATTTGAGACCATAACATAACATCCGAAGAACATAAAAACAATTGCATTAGTGCTTGGTAACTATCAGATCTTAAAACTATAATCTAAATAAAGCTTGCACAGGACGCATTTTATCTGAAAACAATGGAGTAAATAGATTGCTTGTGAGCTATTCATTAAACAAGCGCATAAAATATAAGTCATAATGCTTTAATTCCATAATAACAAATTTATTTGAAGACCTGAATAGGCGTTCAACAAATAAAGCTAAATACGAGTATATCTTAACGTTGCATTTTGCCCTGTCCATGAATATGCGACCCTCGTCCCTCTCTTGCTCGTAAATCACTGGCTCCTATTACTCCCTGTTGTCCCACTGATGATCTTAAGGAGTCTCACTGCCGGTGCCTCAAATGTCAGTGATATAGCGAATGAAGCCAAGAACGCCATCACTGCATATCCCGCGTATATTGCCAACTGCGAACAAGAGTTGAAAGAGTTAATTAATGTTTGCCAATTTGTCACATGCTGAAAAGTTAAGTTAGTTTTACAAAATAAACATTTAAAAAGTTATATAATATTGTTTATTAACCAATCTAAATAGTGTTTTCATTGTAAGTACACACACACACACACACACACACACACACACACACACACACACACACAATTAATTAATTCACACATTACATACATTCAAAAATCTTTTTCTAAATAACTTTAGTATTATTCTTAATAATTTACTTTAGGCATCTATAACTGTATATGAGCGTACATATTTTCTTAGAAATGTTAGCTATAAAGTTAAAACAACTTTGAATTATAATTATACTTTAAAAAAAGTGTTTATAAATAAAATAAGTATATTAATATTTTACTTTCTAGGTCCTATATTTTTCTAATAGTAAAGGGAATACTGCAGTTTTCATTATTATGAACATTCTTTATGTCCAATTTAATAATTTAAACAGTAATTTGTTCTTAAATACATTACACAAATAATATAAAAGTACCTAATTAAAGGACCTAATTTACCTAATCAAGGTGACAACTTTACCAGCTTACATAATTTGGAAATAATGTTTACAGGTAGTAGGTATATTCTTAATTCCTAATCCCATTCTATTACCATATACAGAAATTAAGAATATATAGGTTCTTCACTAGCCTATTTTAACCACAGTTGATTCAATTATGTATATCGTGTGGCTGTAACTAACTTGTTAGAGAATCGGATAAGTGTCACACTAGAGTTGTTCACTTGACCCTAACTAATAAATATCGAATGAGCATCAAAACTTTCCCACTGAAATCTAGCTCTAGCCTTTCCCCAGATTCCTCGTTAAAGTTTTTTTTTTTATTCCAATTAAAGGATCCCGACAAAATGTCGGGAGGATTGAATACATCTGCAATGGCTGTACTTTACCAACGATTTACATACGCGGCGCTGAAATTGAGAATACATCTGTTATGTAAGGGTTTACTTTCCTCCCGGTGCTTATTTTTTATGATCTGTTTTTTATATCTATGAATGTATTTACAATAACATTATATCAATCTTATCCGCATTCTAGAATCCGTGTATGCTCTGAAATACTGCTATGATTCTTACTTTTCATTAATCATGAGTACTGTAAAAGATGTGTTTGAGTTTGATAGTCCGCCTAATCTTCTTATTGCTCTCGTTATTTCAAGGTGTAAGATTTATTTACAACAATAAAGAGCATTTGCGACATAATTTTGAAATTCTGAATTCCATGCAGATCCTAGTGTTTATCTTGCCGTCCGTTCTAGCTGACGCTGAATGTGAATAAATTTGAAACAGCTTGTGAGAGTTTTAAATAGATTTGTGTAGCATCAATGTTGCTTTAGTAATCCTGTCATGGTATCCGCAGTCTGAACTCAACTGTTCATCTGTGGTTTATTATTACTACTGCAGTTTTCTGTACAATATCTGCGTCTTCTTCCGATTAAAATACTTACTAACAAAAATCCATTCGTGAATTGACAAGCATCTTCAGTGTAAACATCTAACTACTAAATACGGCAACAGCAAAAAAAGAACAAAGTAGTGATGAAAATAAAGATGAAAGGTTCCTATAATTGTTTTAAGGCATCACTTCTCACTTCTCACACTAAGGCATTATTTCTCCTTTTGTGCCAAATTTCAGGTCACTAGTAGAAAAAGGCCCGTTCTGCGTTGACGTGCCCTACCTATAAACCAACTCTCTACTAAATTATTAAAGTCTTAAATATTAATATAGACCTACACAATAAATCCTTATATAACTTCTACGACTCGTAAACTAGTTCACTGCCAAATTTTATCTTCGTAGATCAAGTAATTCTCTAAACTTCTTGTTTCTTTAGACTTTTTAACTAATGCTTTGTGATTAAATCTTATTTGTAATGCACACCCCAATTATGACACCTCCATTCATATGGCTGTAACTCTACCATACTAGATTATTAAAGCAACGAATTTCTACATTTTGGAGCATTTAGAAAGGAAAGGATGAGTGAAATTAGTATGAACTAATAATAATGCATTCTGCTATATATAGTATGTATAGTATGGCTACCTGTTTGTGTTGCAAATCACAGGCAACACAAACAGGTAGCCATAGAAATTTCAAGAACAAATATTAGGTTTAAACTTACCTAAATTAACTAAAACAATGTACTCACCACAGTAGAATTCTGCATATGATATGGTCCGTCTAGCAAGAAGGACGTATACATCAATATGGTAGGATGAACTAAGTACGCGCAGTAGGTGAGTCTGCTAAGCGGCAACAGGCCACGGTATGATAATCCCGAGTTAATCAGGCCTCCATAACCACTGCAGCAGGAGATCACCACCCAGGCCACAGCTACGCCCCAGGCTATGTAAATTGAAAACCATTTTAATGCCAGATTAAGATTGCAGTCAGAACTCGCAGACCACCAAGGTAGGGTTGTCACCAGACAACCCTACCTTATGTTGTATAAGGTTTGCCAACGCGTAAGTAAATCCCATTAGTGTTTTGATTTATTTACGAGCACCGATAAACGCTAAAAGTCAGACGGGCCGTTTGCGTAGGGCGATTTCATTTACATTGTATGTAGGCTTTGAATATTAAGTATGTTAAAAGACGATACAACATTATGTGCTTCGTTTTAAAATGTAACATTGCCTATGAAAATTTAATTAGCTTTTTCGGCATGAGCACGGTCTGCTGAATGTTTATCTTTTTGAAAAAAATCATTTAACAGGAATTTAATTTTAAAAATGGAGGCATTCTATTTTAAAAAAATTACACGATGCTTTTTCAATGTTCTTTATAATTTTTAGGTTATGGGCGTTGAACAAATGGAGAAATGTTTTAAAAATATAAGGCTTTTGTAACTCATCATTTACAATGTAATAAAATAATAGTTTTTTTTAAAGTCAGTACTAAATTTGATTACAACATATTTAAACCATTTTCTATTTAAAAATTTCGAATTGAACAAAAGTGAAAGCCTCGACCACAATATTACTCCTTGTCATTATGTAGTCGTAGAAAACAAAGTTATTTGTAAGTAAATCTACCTGTCAATCGTCAATTTATCATCATTTGCATACTATTTTGAAGACAGGAAAACTTAAATTACTTACTAACTTGGTAACTAAGTACTTACAATACGTGCTGACTTGTTATTTGCCTTGTTGTAACTAAAAAATATTTGCTTCTTTAATATAACGCTCAATAGTTAATAAATCCCTTCTCTCCAAAATTTCCTAGTTGCAATTAACAGCAAGAGTTTGTGCTGCTCAAGTCAGGACTCTAATAGTTTATAAGCGGATGAAATAGAATATGAAAACATTCTACCCAAAATGTACGTTAAAGTTACCAAGCTGAATACATGTTAACTCTACGAGGAAAATTCAGTTTAAATAATATGCTTTCACAGAGCATAAAGGTGGTTTTATCGGATTTTCGTATTCTTGTTGTCACACAAAATATTTAAAAGTGTCCATAGTTTACCGAACAGAGCGAAAGAAAAATAAAATTGTAAAGAAAATGAAAATAATTTATAATATAAGTATCTTGTTATATTATAAAGTAAGTAAGTAGCATTCAAAAGAAAAATAATTTTATCGTGAAAAAGAGTGGGGTTTAAGATCTTAATTTTTGAAAAAATATTTTACTGACAGATGTTGGTAAAAGTAAAGTTATTATATTATAAAATACTTTGAAAAACAACCAACGCTTTTTACGGTAAAATGGTTTTTCTTTTTGAACTTATAGAAAATTATATTACTTTGAATTCATGTTGAATGCTCTTGATACTTTTTAGTTCGGCTAGCTATAAAAGTGTTTTTTTAATTTATTTTATAAACTATAATTTATTTTTCCTTTTTTAGTCATTAATGAATTATCATCTCATTAAGAGTTAAAAAAGTAACAAGTAAGTTTATCACAAATGCCTCAGCACAAGCCTTAGTACGTGGCAAAATACACTATCGTATTTTTAGGAATGGAAAAAGTTAATCCATGATCAATACATGGATCAATGGGACAAACTTTTTAAATTATGGCATTGTCATCGGTCCTTGAAAAGTGTGCAGTTTCAATTTAATTTGACGTTTTGAAGTGGGTCAAAATCACGCTCGAAGATTCCGTTACATATATAGAAATGTCAAGCTAATAAAAACGTGTTAAAAAGGATCTTAAATGTTCCGAAACTTGAACAATGAACGAAATGTCAATTATTAAGCGTATAATGCGTACTAAAAGTTTCATACTTATAAAAAAAAAAAACCTTGTGAAATGGAAAATAGACCAGGGTTTAAAAGATTTTTCTTCTAAACCGTATATATTCAGAAGGATATGGTTGCAAGGTTCGGTAGCGCACTTTTTAAGTAAAAAAATATTATCCATACCCCACACACCCCCTTTATGGAGGCTAGATCAGAGAAATAATAAATGTAAACTAGAAAACCGTAAGACATGAAAGTAATAATTATCCGACTGACCATAAGCGTAAATCGCAAAGCTTAAAATCCAACATTCTTTTTAAATACATAAACAATTTTTCTTTAAAAAAAAATACCTGCATGTCCAACACTAATGTAGAACGCTGTCGGCCACACTTCAAAATAACCATCAACCATGCTGAAGATCATACTTCCGAAAATGGCAAGGGCAACAGGCCAGCCCACTGCTACCAGCCAGTACGGCAACTTCAACTGGCACTTTGTCTTGTGCAAGTACCAGCCCACTATCATTCCTGCAAACGTAAAATAATACACATCAATATACTTGGCCTAAAGACGATCATCGTCAGAGCTCAAGACACTTTAAGTTCAGAACAAATTTCAAATAATCCATTCGCATTATGCGCGAATCACATTCACATTATATATTTTTGATCAGCTTTTCTTCGATAATAACACTTTTTTCGTAATGAAAGACACCGTATATCATACCCCTATAATGTGTGCATAACTTCATGATGATCGATTGAGTCGTTAAGACGTGAAGGGAAACTATATCTAAACACTCCCATGAACTATCATGCATGTACATTTTACTTGGTGGTATTTTTCAACTGCGATTTTTTTTCATGTGTAAATGGTGCTTTAAGTACATTTCATTAATGCAATAACATATAAATAGTCTTGAACTTTTTTATAACGCTAAAGCTACGACCTTGAATTAAAATTGAAAATACAGATATATAATACTCAAGTTAATAGAAATACGATACATAGATATTTTAGCAACATCTTTATAAAAACAAAGAAGTAGCTCAAGTATTGCTAGTTAATTTAAACGGGTTTTCCCACAGCTGTCTTCTTTTTGCTATTATATCCAAAAAAAGTTTTATTAAAAGACGACATTATCCTCCTCTTCATTAAAATTATAAAAAAATTCAAAGAGATTAAAAGACATTGAATATAAATACTGAAAAATGTATCATCATTTCTGGTTTTCTATAGACATTTAAAAAATGCCAAAACTTAACTTTACTTTTACCAAAAGAATAAAGGAGCTTTTCCGTGTGTAATTGATATGATATTTAATATGTATTTTTAAATGTGTTTAACCATCCGAAAATGTTATTTTGGCACGACACATTGTTCAAACATCTGTTTACACTGTGTCCAAGTCCCTAATAATATCATCATGGACTCGCTAAAAGAACTTGAAATGTATAGCCGAATAGAGCTTCACTATAAGATCGATAATATGGCAGTAAAAGGATTCCTTTTCGGGGATTATGGGACGATCTGGGTAGAAAGGCTACACAATCGGTTTAGCGTTGAACCTTTCCCACGATGTCGACACGACGTTGTATCGACTTGAATAATCTTTAACAGAACAGCTTTCATTTTATCGCACGCTGCCAGAATCGGTCGTTCCCAGTCAGCTTAATTTTTAACCGACTTCAAAAACACAAAAGAGGAAGTTATCAATTCGTCTGTATTTTTTTTTGTTTGTTAAGCGATCTCTCCGTCAATAATGGACCAATTTGTTTTGTTGCTCCCAAAGTGGTCCCATTTCCACCAATGGAACCAATCGATCCTAGAGAAATCGAGGGAAACCCTCAAATTTTACAGCCCCTACAACGTGTTTTAGCTTATTTCTCTAGCTTTAAAGGTATTTGTTGTTGTTATGTCATGATGCTGAGCTGATGATGGAAGGATCCTTGACCTTTAGGAGTTAGAGAATAACTATTTCAAAAATCTAATCATGTATTGGCCTTGTTTTATTCTTCCAAGATATTATATATATATTTATTTTTTTATATATCTCACACATCTCACACACGGCCGTCTGATCCCAAACTAGGCAGAGCCTGTACTATGGTAACCAGACCGCTGATAAACATACTTATATATTTTTAAATACATACATATTATAGATAAATTACACCCAGACACAGAACAAATGATCGTGCTCATCACACAATATTTGTCCTGGGTGGGAATCGAACCCACGACCTCCGGCTTAGCAGTCAGGGTCACTAACCACTAGACCAACAGTTAGGTGTTTGTGTGGGGTTACAGAGATATGTGCACAAGAGAGTAATAAATGAGATTACAAAACATTTAGACAAAAAGAAATGTTTGTTAGGCAATTATTTTCATAATTGTAACCTAAAAACCCTTTCATTTGTAAACCGTTTTTTTTTTTTTTTTAATTATTTTTGTTATATATTTCCCTTTTAGTTCGATTCGAATGTGAAGAAAAAATACCACTCCTAGTTTTGTAAAATTAAGCTAAAGCTGACATAGACCAGTATTACTTACTGTACATCAGACTTGGCACCGCCTTCAAACAGACTAGAGGGGACTAGGGCTATTATAATGTTACCTGTTATATTGAGGGTACTTATTATAGATTTTTTACTTAGATTTGAAATTATTTTTGAATTTTTAGTGCTCTTTTAGAGTAAATTTCACATTACATACACACATCAACAACAATTTTTTTTTTTACATTTCACCTAAACTCGACCTCGATCGTTTTTCGCGACTCTTACTTTCAAAATAAAATATAAGTATACGTAACAAATGGGTCTACGAGTACCGACAATCTGTGTATGTATAAGCAATTGACTTGCAAAATATATTGTGCAATCCAACTACAGAAAATTAAATTGCTATTGACCTACTGCACTTAATTATATAGAATGAAATTATGCACGTGTATGATTTTAGAAAAAAAATGTCATGATCATTATTCAGTTCTTTGAGTCAAAATTTTAGTAATAATATAATAATAATAATAAAATTTTATTTTCGTAAGGTAATTGTAGTACATAGATACAGAAATTAATGAAGATAGTGCATACAATCAGTGGTTAAATCGCTGTCCTCCTAGCTAGGTTATGAAATAACCTGTATTAAGGAGTAACAGTCCCAAACCCCTTTCGGTGGCAGGTATTACAATATACCAATATACTGCATTAAAGTATTATGACATTTTTAAGGTTATATATACATAATTTAACAGAAACAGCGTGCTTGGGTAGGTATGTGTGAGTGCGCGCGCGCGTGTGTGTGTGTGTGTGTGTGCGTGCGTGCGTGTGCGTGCGTGTGTGTATGTGTGTGTGTGTGTGCGTGCGTGCGTGCGTGTGTGTGTGTGTGTGTTTTATGTATCATACGTATAAAGATAGTTTTCAGTTTCCTCGTAGGTTTTATCTTGCAGAAATGTGTTTAACGCCTTTTTGCAGTTGTGATGTGATAGGTTGTTAATTGAAAAGTTTCGACTTATTTTGTTGTATAAAGCTGGACCAAAGAAATAAAAGAATCTTTTAGTAAATGCCGTCCTAGGATGTGATATTGTACAAACTTTGTCTTTTCTTCGTCTGGTTATTTCCCTATGCGGCGTGTTGTAATGCGAGTAGAATGATTTGTTTAATAAAATGTTGCCGAACGTTTAAAACCTTACATTGGTTGTACAATTTATCAGTGGGGTACATAATTGGACGGAATGTTGCTACCTTCAAAATCGATCTATGGGCAATTTCTAGGGGTTTCATGGTAGTTTTAGCAGCACCCCCCCAACATGAAATACAGTAGGTACGTAATAATGGAGACACACAAGGCAAAGTATATGTTACGGATTATTGTAGGATTCGATATTGATCTTAGTGTTTTAAAAATATAAATTAATTTACGCACTCTACCGGTAAGGAAATTGATGTGGGCTTTGAAATTTAGGTTCGTATCTAAGATTATGCCAAGATATTTAATATGATCTACACGATCTAGGTTGGGACAATTGCATTGAGTTATTCTTGGTGGTAGGCAATTATGTGCTTTTATGGTAATTGGAATGTTAGGTTAAGATGCGGAGCGGAGCGGATATCTTGTGTGTAATATTTAAAAAGGTTTTACATGAGAACAGTACATTATAGCACAGCGATTCATTTGACGAAAAAATATTACAAACATTATTTAAACGATAAACCTAATAATAAATAAATATATTTTATAAATGATTATTTTTTAGATTATTGTGAAATGGGGTGAACCTTTTTGATGTTGATAAATTTTGTATTAACCGATCCGAAATATGAATTAGTCGAAATAAAAATATAAAAATTTGTACGGATTCGGTGGGTCCGCCTGTCAACCTTTTTAAAACCAGTAATCAGCAAGTCCAATTATCAGTAATCGAAAATACACGCTACGTTTGTCGGAGTACTGACAGTACGAAAGAAAACGAAAAAGTATAAATGAAGACCAAGTGTAGATACTGATTGAAATTTACTTTTAATAGTTCTTCATCATCATCGAATCATCGAGTAACTAAAGGTGGTATTCTACCTAATAAATATCACTTCGATTTTGTTAAGAAAAATATACCTATAATAAATATTTCTTTCTATTACAACTTTACTTTTAGAACTGTAAAAAATCGTTAATGACACCTATTGTTAAAAAATAGAACAGTTATAGACAGACATTCAATTTCTTTTAAAACTTGCAAACTCCACTTTTCGTTCAGCCAACTTTTATTCTTATAAAACTTTTTGACTACTTATAGTCGATAAATAGATATTCGCTAAATCAAAGGCACGACCAGATTGCGTCTACGAGCTGTTAATATAATTTAGGAGAACTTGACCAGACTTGCGATAACAGTTCAGACAAAATATAGTAGGTACTTATGTTATCTAGATCTTCATAATTTATCCAGGCATTTGTAATGAAGAATCGTTTTTATTGTACTGAGAGAATTTAATAATTATTATTTTATGCAATTAGTTGTAATTAGTTGTTTATTTAACCATTATATTAAACGAATTATTGCGTTAAAATATGACACTAACGCCAGACCTACTGTTTTATAATCTAAAATTGCCTATTATAAAATGATAGCAAGTCGAACTTTGCATATTGAAGTTTTTCTTTTTAAGGTAGGCGTAGACAAAAAATAGTCAATCTGAAGTACTCATGTTATGAGGCTACTAGAACTAAAATATAAATTCTAGCAAATGATCACAAAAAAGTCTAAACTAGACGAAGGTTCATAAAGTTATTGACAACGATAAAGCTGGATTAATGATTTAAAAAATGATTGTCTCAAATTTTATGAAAATAAAATTTAATAACAATTAAAGTGCGTAAAAAAGAAATAGATCCAAGAATAAAAAGGAATTTGGCTGAAAATCTGAAAAAAAAAAACAATATTTAACGGTTTCAAACTACTCCGCCATTAAAAATACGAACTTCTATTCATTTTTACTTTATTTGAAAAAGGAATAAACTTAAACGAACTGATCTATTCTGCTGTATTAAGTAATCACGGGACTGGTGAGACTAGCCATCGGTACGTTCAAATTAATCAAAATAATATTAACATGATAGTGTGAACTTTCATAAAAGTTTATTATATGTGTGTAACCTTGCCGAAGCTTTCAATACTTGGCCAATTAGTAATTTGTTCTGCTCTTTGAACTATATTCATCCATCACGAGCTATTCATAATTCCATAAAAGTTTTAGAAAGATCGATGAGCTGCGCTAATTCCTTTCGAGGCTGCAATATTGGATTACTACGATTTATCCTTATCATTTCTTATGACTCATTTTAACCTCCTTCCAAGGTGATACGTTACAGCTAGTTAAGGTTACAGTTATTTTTTATTGAGATGATTAGAGAATATTAATGGAAAAGAAGCTTTTCTTCATGTTTGCCTGACGAAAGCATTATTTTACTGTTCATTTTGCTCCTAAGCGAAAGGTTAAGTTCTTCCAGTGACTAATTGAAACGGGTCAAAGAAAAGGTAATGCAACGAAAAATATATTTTTTTACACATTTGTGAAAGAAGATAAATAACGAGAACATAACGTAATTCATAATTTTACATTTCTGAAAGCTTACCTCGTTTTTCTATAGTTGTTAATTTGATACCTATCTTAAACCGTTTCAATACATATACATATATATATATATATATATATATATATATATATATATATATATATATATATATAGAATTTTGTGGAATATAGTAGGTCAAAATAGAAGATCCAATGAAACATACCTAGAACGGTTAGAATAACAAGTAAGTAACTATGTACCGATGTACTTTAAACCCTCAAAGGACTACGGACTAACTAAACAAGGTTTTCGATGATAATAGTTTTATTTACTTATCGGAAAGCTTGCTCAAATAACATGTATAGAGTGAATGTAAAAGGTGCGCAAATATACATTGATGTTAGCAAAGAATTTTTTTAGAATTTTTGTCATCATTTACTTATGTGTAAGCTCATTTACATAATCAATAATACGTTCAAAACGTTTTTTACAAACAACAAAATCGTACAAAAAATGTCAAATTTACCATGGAGAGAGGGGGAATCTGGGAGAGCTATGCTTCGGCACAAATTGACCAGCTCGGCCGGAGTGATACTAGTACCTCACAGAAAAACGCTGTCTAGTGTGAGTTTATTTTACACTAGCTTTTGCCCATGGCTTCGCTCGCTTAAATGTCAATTTTGACAATAAATTTGTTCGGGATAAATAGTAGCCTCTGTGATATTCTAGAATATGATCTATCTATGTGAAAAATCTCGTCCAGATCCTGACAGCCGTTTTGACGTGATTGAGTAATAAACATACCTACGTTGTGAAAAGTTTAAAATTAATATGTATGTTTTTTTGATAAAGGATATTAATTGTACCGAGAGTCTGGTATAAACTAATATACTTATTGGTTTAAAGGGTAGTTTTGAAAAATTAGTAACAACGTTTTTATTACTCTTAATAGAGTTTTTACTGTGAGTTCTATTACCAAAAATAACGTAGTTTCATACTATTCATTCATAAAATTCATTCAATTATATATATATATATATATATATAGATTAACTTCGACGGCGACCGGAGTTCAGTGCGGGTCAAACAATACATTCTAAGGTTTCTTCATAATTAGGTAAGTATATTACGTACAATGCGAAAAATATTGACGTGAAAATCGTAGCGTCATCGCATGATATAATACTTTACTATTAAATATAATGTTAGATGGTGTTGCCATTAACACTACTAAAAAAAGGATTGTTATCCTTTTTTATTAGGTATTCATGTACTTCACATTTACATTTCAACGAACGGAATAGCAATGGCTCTCTCCATGAAGAGCAGGGGACGCGCGAGATACGGCTGGACATTTTCGGTGTAAAAGGGTAAGCGTGATTTCAATTCACGCCCATCCCATCCACGCGTCGCCTCGCCGGTATTGAACCACCTTGAGGCTACCGGAGTCCAAACCTCTACTCTAGATTCACTTTCGTGTGACCCGTCTGCTCACGTTTTTGTTACTTAAAATGTTATTGTGTCCATGATATTCCCACAAAAAAAAAAATATACATAAATCTCGTACTTCGTAACATTATAAGTTACATAAATCATCAACAGTAACAAATTTCAATTTCTAAAGCAACCAATGAAAAGACAAATTACTTCGAGTTCGATACTGTTAGACCCTTTTAGGCTCTACTTGTCGTGTGCTATTTACCTACATACCAGTAAAACAAAGATGATAAACTTATTTTTAACACCAAATATGGATCTTCTTTATTTTAACATGTATTTAATCATGTAATATGTTGGGGGGATACATAAAACTTGGAAAAGTTGAACTAACTAAAGCGACTTACTGTCTCATACAGACTTACTGTCTTATACGTTCGATTGGCAATTTACCCATTAACAACATAAATTGCCACGGAGAACCATCTTATCTAGCAATCTTATCCATTTAAAAAAAAAAAAAAGAACCTAGTAAGATAATCGGAAAAAATCGTTAGATAACAAGACACGTTATGTCATTTTAATTAATAAATATATACTTCTCAGTTCTAAGATTTAAGAACATTTAAATAGAGTGAGTTATTTCTTTGCTACTTTGTATTCTCTTTTTATTTCTTTTTTGCATATCGTGATAAAAAAAAGTACTTACCAATTAAATAGGGTCCAATTCTTGACCATGGCTTATCATACAATGTGTCGAACATTTCAAAGGGCTCTTGTATACGCGCTTTGTACTGATGCCATACAGAAATGTAGATTGTTGTCACCCAAGAGCTCACCATTACTAAACCCAACGATATCATCGCAAATTTTGGATGTCTACAATAAAAAAAAATGTAAAATGTTTTCATAAATTACGGTAGATAATGTTCTTTAGCAATTCAGTAAATAAACTTTGCTTTTTAAGAAAGTTTTAGCAAACCCTTTAAGCAAGGATATTTGCTTAAGGGTGATAAGAAAGAAAGAAAGCTGTATCTAATCTAAATTACTCTACGGCACGTAAAGGTAGGTAAACATTTTATGTATTTCGTTTTTAGCCCTTTACATATTAATATGCAGGGAAGTAAGCTAAGTTTCTAGAAATGTTTCCTACATAATTATGATAATGAGATAAGGACATGCATATGTTAGATCCCAAACACGTTTGTACATTACGTATGTTATTTCCCTGCCTTGGAATATTAGTGGCATTTTTCTTTTGCTTTACTTACTTGACAGAAATAAGCAGCAGTATGATCCCGACGACGTAGAATTGTGTGTCATTAGCCATGTACCACGTCCACACCATGCACATCTCACGTTGCGGGTATAAGTTGTTGATGTAAAGGAGATTCCGCCACCAGAACTTGTCACATGTGATGTGATCAAACATCGCGGGTTCAAATACAGATCGGTCATGTGTATACCTTAGAGCAACTTCGTTTAGTCCAATCACAAAGCCATAAGCAGGCGATAATCTTACTATACGATAGCCAAATAAAACTAAAAAAGACTTAACCATCGCCAGCAATTCAGTTATCGTGTATATACAGCTTTTTGGCTTATCTAGTAAATCTTCCTTGAAGGATTGTTGACTTATGACCGAGACAGAAAGTGCAGAATTAGTAAACCCGTTCAGGTTCTTATTAATATCGTTCTTGTCTTGCTGCGAAATCCGTTCCTTCTTTTTGTCTTCTGTGCGGAGAAACAAGATTGTGACAAGAATACCACTGCAACAAAGAAATAAGGTTTTAAAATCTAGTTCAAATTATCAGCACTTTAACAACCGTGTAAGGGATTCTGCATCACATTACAATATACTCGTATTGCTAATGAAAAATATGGTAGTCATTCATTTCCACAATAATATTATATAGGACCAGAATGAACTTAGTCAGTTCCTATTAAAGTGTATGTAATCACTCGAACCAAATCAATTACTTCAGCGTGTTATACAGCGTAGTATCGATATTATCTTTAATCGGTCAATTTCCAAAATAAGCTTAAACCCATTTTCTCTTGTGTCAAATTCGGTAAAAGACACTTTTTTAAACAATATTTTTGTATTAATTTAATGCCTCGAAGACCACGTTAAGTCTTCGGTCCCGGTTGCCATACGACTAACTGTGTCAATCGTTACGGGTAATTGGAGCCCTAAACAGTGTTCCTAACAACAGTCTTTCTACAGAACTTCTATATGTAGCCTAGTACTTGGGTTGTGGAAGTCTCATGGTAGTCGCTCCGCGTAAAAAATCGAAGTTAAGCCATATCGCAGTAGACTTAAAGCCGACCTCAACCTAGATTGGGGCTATCAGCTATACGCATCCGGTATATAATTATGTATATTGACTTGTCATAATAGGTAAGTCTATACAATGACCGTTCAAGGTATACTGGCTAATGAAATTGACCAGTAAAATAAAAACTTAATAAATGATGGTCAAAATTTAACTACGTGGCGATTTCTTTTGTATATAGATGTTTCATGAATGGAATTCATCAATTTTATCAGCAGTTAAAAATACAATGGTTAGTAATTTTATTTATTTATTTATTTAAAACATTTACAGTTTCTTTACAGGATCCTTATCTCAAAAAAGTAATAACAGTAAGTACCAATTATTTTATAAAGAAAAATCTGCTGTAATACACCTTTGGGCAACTGCCTTGAAGTTCGGCAGAATACAGTTGTAGATATCTACATGTATTGAAACAATATTAATAACCTTTATGGCGCGTGATATCGAAGCAAATTTGTTCTGTGCGACCCTGACGGGTGCGTGGGTGCACACCGTATTCTTTGTAATACAGAAATCGAGTGAATTTATTTTGAATTTTATTCTACCATAAGACTATATTTAGCCTCGTGAGGATTCCAAATTATAGCGGTCGCCTCTAGATGACTACGAATGAGAGCATTGTACAATATTTTCACCACTAACGAGTTATTAAAATCTTTACAGTTTCTCAAAATAAATCTTGAATTTCTAAATGATTTATTGCATGTAGTAACGATATGATTACGAAACGTCAACTCGGGCACCATTTCGACGCCTAAATCTAGGATGCTGTTAAAGTACGGAATCAACGCACCATCCATTTCGTATGTATAGCACAGTCAAGCCCTAGCCCCGCTGTAATCTGGCTATGCGTGTGATATCGACAGATACACCTTAAGGTCATCTGCAAAAAGCAGGCACTCGGCATGCTGTAAGACCCCCGGGAGATCGTTGATCATTAGTAAGAATTCTAACGGTCCCAGATTTGACCCCTGACTTATACCCGAAAGAGTAAAATACGGACTGGATTCATACCCAGCATTCTCAACGTACTGCTTGGGTTCACCAAGGTAGCTAGGTAATCTAACGCTGACATCTTCGATAATAGCACGTCGTTATCAACTAAGTCGAATGCTTTTCCGAAATCGGTTAATTGAACCGATTAACCAAAAATAATGTTAACTGAGAAGCAGAGATAAGTTTACTATTTATTCCCATATACATTTATGCCGTAATTCCGTTTTACAATAGTTAACAATAACAAATTTGGTATTAATAAAATTTTAACTATAAAATTGTTATCGACAAATAGTTTTAACACTATTTAATTCTGCAATAGTGGAAACAAACTCTGAAACTGTTCTGCAGTACTGATGCAGTTGTATAAAATAGTGATAAGTGATTACAATAATTGCATGCCGCCGGCAAGCATCCTGAGCAAACAATTACTAGGACTTATGACATCAAAACTTCAAATATTTAAGTGTTTTTAATTACGAAGGGCTAATTAAATAGTGCAATACTTACCTTATGACGAAGAAAGTGTCCACACAATAAGAGGCGTTACCGACGGATTGGTACCAGAAGTTGCGCTCCGTAATGACCCGCATTGTTTTGTTGCCAGCCACGTAGAACATGGTTAAATATGTGTGCACCATTATCACCCATATGACTGACATGAACCTGAGAATTTATTACAAATAAGTGTTTGCTATATGTTTTAGTGTGGAACGACTTTATTTTCTAATAAGTTGGATTTCCAGAGACGCAACGCCGGCTTCTTCGAGCTACTGCAGTCTCAGTTTACCCTTCCTAGATCTACAATATCTCTCACCCGAGCTCCCTTTTTAGTCCTATTTGAAAATAATTATATTTCCAAGAAGTCTGGCAGAAGGCCTGGGATATCAGAAACATGGCAAAACCCTTTGCAGTGCTACATATTGCCCCGTGACAAATAAAACTTAGAACAGGACGGGAAGATGAAGATGCATTAGACCTACAGTACGAGTAGATACATTGAAACCTGTAGCAACGCAATTTCTGTTATAACCAAGCATTTCTTTTTGCAAAAATCATATAAGCAAAATATAAGTAGTAGTTTTCCGTTCCCCGTGGCAGAAAAGTTGAGGAAAGTGTTTGTTGCAAACAATAATATATTAAAAGCGCGGGGTTGAGTTATGGCCGAGAAATTATGACACCTGTGGGACTTGTATGTAACCATCACAGCTATGGCCGTTTTGAATATGGGAGTAGCCACAGATAAAATGAGAATTCTGACAATATATAAAATTTTAAGCAATGAAAACAAAAAGCAAATAATTGAAGATTTTTTTCGGACGTTGACCACGAAGTCGACTTTAAGAAATGAAAAAGTGAGCACCTGATTTATGTCGATGATGTCGAAGTAAGCTTACTTGTAACCACGGTATTTATTTACTACTGCTTATTGAGATACGTAGGCTCTTATTACATCAAGTGGTTTTTTTTTTTTTCAAATTATTTTAGTGACCGTATGCACTATCCGTAGAATCATAATAAAGTATGTTGTAATTTAATTGATTTCGTGTTGCAAATACGTGTGGGACAACATATTTATACAAAATGAAAATCACAAGATTAAAAAAAGAAATTGACTAGGAGAAGTTTGACACGAATCTTCAAATACACACATTTTGAACTTTATCAAATACATATCTACCAGAGGAAGATTTGCATCCTTTAGCATCCTGTTATAACATTTAAGATTCTTACAATAAAACCTGTTAGCGATTAATTGTTTTAATCCCTACTAATTATAACTTCTCGATAATAGGGCGAAATAAACAAGATAGGTACGTACTGTACTGTAATCAGTACTATTATATTAACACATAAATACAAAAACATATACATACGCCTACACATAAACACAGATATATTACATACACAAACAACAGCAAATCTGAAAATAAATTGAAGAAATTGATAAAAACAACAGAAAAAAGAAATAACTCGTATTTAATTGATTACTACTATTACCAAATAAATGAACCAAATTACTTACGGTATCAATTGGTTAGGTAATGGACTGAATAAAGGCTTACTGTTAATATTTGAAGTAGACTAATGGACCAATAAAACTGTGTTTTATGTTTACTCAGTAACGGTTATTAATTTTGCCAACAGATTACACGGTAAGTTTGTTTCAAGTTCAAAAGTATAATCTATGAATAAGTAGTAGTAGTAGTAGTAGTAGAAGTATTTATAAATCTTATATGGCAGGATGCTTACTCAATTTATAATATCAACACATTGGTTTTATTTGTGTTTAAAAAAATGATAAGTTAATATAAGTAGCTATTGCTAGAGGTGACTGAATTATAATCAAAAATATTTTGCCATTTACCCCTATCAAAATCAAATGCTATTAATATTATTTTGCTGTATTAATTTTAAAAAAATATGATTCTTTTACATTTTTTTACACCAAAACTGCCCACGAATTTATCTATCTACAGTCTTTATTCATCTTCTTTGTCCATTCCAAGGTTGCCTGTAAGAAATTGCTTTTTAGCGATAAGGCCGCCATTTGCACATGGTCAATAACTTAATACACTATTGCATGTATGATATACTCGTACTAAACTCGTGTACAATAAAGTTTATTCTATTATAAGTTATTGAATTATTATACCTTAATAAATTTTAATGAATAAACTTTCTACTTCTACTCGTATATCCAAATCAGTGTAGAAACTGTATGCCGACATCATTTAAATGTGCTTATAGTGCTTAGAGCAGTACTTTTAGTTTAGTAAATAGTAGGTAAAAAGGTTAAAACCTTAATTTTATTTCAAAATGTATGTACCTTATTTTTGTTGTAGAGGTAAAGGTTTTATACAATAGTAATTTCGGACCGATTGAAACAGGAATTTTTAATCAAATCATCAACAAGTTAATAATTTAAAGAAACAGAAAACCCGACTGCAAGGAAATTTACAAACCAGGGATGATTTTATGATATGATATATTAATTTTGAAAGTGACACTGGGTCACTTTCAAAATTAAGATGAATATAACGACACCTCAAATGCCAAAATTTATCAAGCACCATAGACCACAGAGCTTGCCAAATAAATATAAACTCAAAACATAACCCTCATTCTGTAGTAGTAGGGTGAAAAGAGCGTAAAATTAAATAATTTGCAGTGAGGATCCCCATTCTCTCCCAATACGAGAGAAAGATGTATAGTAGAACAAAACTCGGTCGTAAAATAAAATGTACCTCATTCCGTGAAGGCAAGTCAGAGCTCCGTCAGTAGGACGATCCGTGCTCAAGATAGTTCTGCCGTTTGACAGTATTGAGAAAGATAACAACACTTCCGACCATACACCTGCAACAAGAAAGAGAATAATAAGTAACACTAATATTTGCAGTAATCTCATTTAAATATTCAGAACAATATTTCGTGAAATAATAGTCTCATTTTCTTTGAATAGCTAGTGTTTGTTTTGCTAGTGATTATTGCCAACAATCGCAGGATCATTAAAGTACTATTGTATCCACAGCGGTTTCAGATTTCCATTTGCACTTGTAAAGATTAACGCCGCTATAAATTTTAAAGTCTACGGCAACAACATTCAACTCAATATAGTAGGTAGTTGTTTTAAAGTTATCTATCAGTGAGAAATAATACGTGGAACGTGTGGAAGCTTAAGTAAAGCTTATTTGGTTGGTTTTAAATATAATAATAATAATAATAATATTGTACCACATTCACACAACGCCATCTAGTCCCAAACTAAGCAGAGCTTGTACTATGGGTACTAGATAACTGATATAAATACATATATACTTTTTTTTTGTAAATACATACTTATTATACAAAGAAACACCCAGACCAAATCGAACATTAAATGTTCATGCACACAAATGTTTCACTTGAGCGGGAATCGAACCCGCGACCTTTGGAATAGCAGTCCGTTACACAAACCACTACGCCAGTCGGTCGTCAAATATGAATGACATCATTAATAAAATATTTATCATAACGATAACTTTTAAAGGGTAATAAATAATATGAATATTTGAGGGGCCTTCGCTCCTGCAAAGTTCAGTATTTGTTCAGCTGCAATTGTTATACTGTGCTCAGCTTTACGGTCATATAAGTATTAAATTGAAGGTCATCGATTTGTGTATTGTGAGAGCGAAAGCGAGATAGTGAGGTATTTGAAACTTATCTAAATGTCGATAGTATTTTCTCAGTAAGGCTTTCACATCAATTTCAGGCTATAATTTTTGATTATCTGCTAATCGCCTGGCTATTAAAAGCGCAAAAAAATTGATAATTGATTAATGTAACTTTTATATTCATCTAAACTTAGTACTTGTAATATATTTAATTTGTTTACTTATTACTTTGTTTACTACTTACAGTCATGAATTCATGGAATTAAGGTTAATTCTCGGTGGGCCAAAATTATCTTACAGAACAGGCGTGACACCGTTAGCTTAGTGCTGAGTATTCAGACTATTTGAAGGCTTAAACGGTCATAAAAATAATAATAATCTAAAGCTTTCAATTACGTAATTACACTGTTATGTTGTTTTCCATTAAATTATTCAGATTCTGAGTTAATAAATTTAGAATATAAACACAGGGATGAAAAATAAAGGAAATAAAAGCAAGCGTATTTGAAATCTTTCTTTAAATCTAACTTAAACAGAAGCGTTTTAATCATAGGCATTACTGTAAGCTTGAACTTGTTTAAATTTAACATTTGCATATTAAATTAGTTTTTTTTTTTCTAACGTACGCTAAAAGAATGCATATCACTTTATAACTTAGATTTAAGAATAATGCAACGTGTTTTGTGGTTTCCACTAGCTGCATTGGTGTCATTTAACAATAGATACACTTCTTTTTTTCTAATAAAGATCAAGTTGAAAAATCCACAGAAAAAAATTGACCGACATCGACCATAAAGCGAGTGCTCGTAAAACTCATTTGTAATTAATTATGTAAATTGAATAATGAAAACAGTTTTGGGATATTTTAAACATATAACTGAACATAATTATGTGTACTTACGGTAATATGTATATGTATATATATATATATATTAAATATACCTTTGAATTGCCTTTCGTGGACGTTTTGGGCAGATAGCACTGGCAGTTTGTGATCACGACCGATGGCACATCGTGAAACGGTAAACTTCTAAAGTTAAAAGTTATTACTGAATGCTCATATCATAATATAGAAATGGGCCTAAAGAAGGTTGGTTGCTCATAATATTCAATATAGTCGAATTTTAATCGCTATTCAATACTAGGTGATGTAAATTTACCTCTATACATATATGTGTGTTTTCGTTCTTACGTTAAATATCTTCGTCTTTAAATAATTATTTAACATCATGAGTACAGCACGTTTCGAGAATGTAAGTCCCAATTCCCAAAACTCGGTAATTAGTGTAATGGTTCAGTTAGCAGGTTAACATAAGCTCTGAATTAAATATATTTTACGATATTGTTCACTTTTATATAACTTATTAGATTTTAGTAGGCATAAACCTTTCAAAGGAGAGGCCTACGTCCAGCAGTAGACTATTAAAGGCTGTTGATGATGATAATGATTAGTTCACAGAACTCTTTACCTTTAAAAATAATTACTTTTGTTATACTGACAAAAGTAATTCCTTTTTGTGCTGTGTAATGGATTTAAGATTTTTAAGTTTTACAACGTTGATAGCTATCTTTATTCTTGAGGTCTGGTCGGATTGATAAATTTATCATGTTTATCGTTCAGTTACTTCAATATATCGATAATCGATTGACTGACCACCCAAGTCTAAAACCTAAATTAGTTTAAGTTCAAAAACCTTTGCACTTTGGTACGTTAGTTTCAATTATTTGTTAGAAAAGTAACGCCTGTTTATCTTTCTTAAGACATTAGGTCTTTAAGAATCCTCCAAGAACAGTGGAAAATTAAAATTTATTCCAAAACATTTATGATTAAATCTCTGCTTCTTGGCACAATGAGTTTTTACCTTTTGTATTCTTCAACTTTACTCGCAATTTCATAACTTGAAACTTCAGAAATGTCGTCTTACGGACGACCATTATTGAACGAAGGATTACAGAAATATTTGTTTGCTTTTAACCTAAACAAAGTATAAAGTTTTAATACAAACAGATTTTATATTTGCCAACTTTTCGCCTTTTCATCATCATCAACAGCCTATACTAGTCCACTGCTGGACATAGGCCTCTCCTTAGAAAGGAGGTTTTGGCCTACTATACCACGCTGGCCAGACGGGTTGGTATAGGGTTTGTTTCAAGTTTTCCTTCTCTTTGCAGTGCTGTTGTCCTGCTTAGTTTGCTCCCTTAGTCGGCTCTTACGACACCCACGGGATGAATTGGGGTGGTGACAATTTGTATTCTTAATCCGTCACCACACGGAAAACTTTTCGCCTTTTGCTGAATTGAATTCAAAAATAATCTATTGAATACAAATAATTGACTTTTTAAAAGATTCTGGGAATTTTGTTTACTTTAATACAATTATTATATAGATAATGTTCCAAAAGCATTTGTGAAAGGAAGTCATGAACAGAAGTGACTCAGTTTAGTAAATAGAATACGAGTATATAGAAGACTTTTTCAATCAAACCTTTCCGTTTTCATGTTACAGTAGCTGAAATCATGTCGTATAGTCCAGAAAAATAACAACTAAAGATAAACTTTATTTAGGCCGCAACCAAAAAAAAGTTAAATTTAAGACTTGTCGCTTATGTTGGCTTATCTGGTAGTAATGGAGTAGAGGACTGTATTCCTGCATTACCAACAAAATAACCAACCTAAAATAGAGGAGAATATTTTCAAAGACATTTTAAATCAAATCATAATACTTTTACTTAACACAAACGTAAACGAAACGTCTGTTCTAGCAATTTAATCAAACGGCGTATTGTTAACCAACTCCAAATGCGTAATCCATAGAAATATTAATATGTCTATTTTACGCATATTTGCTGTATTTATGTTATGATTGTGGTACATAGCACTGATTGTGTACTCACCGCAAGTTTCTCGTCGGAGTTCTTTGCCTGCATTGTCTGTCAGCTTTCCACCGTCTGGTAATACGTTGTTGTTACCCTGCAAGTATAGTCACGTAATAACTCTCCAGTGATAGGAATCAATGGCGCAAGACCTTTGATCTATTCTCGTGTTTAGTCATTCGAGAATAGATAGGCGTGCTGTAGATCGCACATAAGTATAAATTTACATAAATGAACACGTAAAAATATTTGTTGTTAATTAAAGCCAAACTGTTTTATTAAATGTATGAATAAAATAAAAGTAGTTAAGATATAATTGAACTGACTATCAAGAACTAGACTAAAACTGTTATTTCCGTGACAAATACCTATGGTATTAGTAGTGGTGGTAGTAGTCTAAACTGAATCGATTTCGGGAGCTTCAAACTATCTCCCAGAGTGGTTTATAATGGCCTCTCCATCATTTAAATAATATAATTTTTCTTTATTTCTTGAAAACAACCAAAGCCCAGTTTGTCCGTTGACCTGATTTTAAAATCCTATTACTAAAGCAGGCTAATTATATTTTATACTTTAAGAAACTTAAAGTTTTAATAAATTCTACATAAAAAGCACATCGAATCAACTGGCTTCCGATAATATAATTATTCGCTCTGTGTTAACATATATATATATATGTATGTGTACATTGAATAATTTGCTTACTTTCCTTGACATTGTCACGCTAAAACAAATACAACTTGATTTAAAAAAAAAAGGTACGGCTCGAACTCGTGCGCCGAGGCTTCCGTACCTACCCAGATTTTACATAGATTTTCCTAGTGAAAATCGAAATTTGCCCATATCTTTTTATCGTGTTGACCCAGGACCTTGATTTTTTTACACCTAATAGTAGAGACCATAGACCTCAGTATCTGGTATGAATTTCACCTTGCTAGCTCTACCCGTTCCTGAGAAAATCGGTGGTGACACATGGACAGACGGACAAGAAAGTGATCTTATAAGGGTTCCTTTTTTACCGTTTGAGGTACGGAACCCTAACAAACAAAAATATTTTCAAACATCTGACATACAATGACATCTAGTTTCAAACTAAGAAGAGCTTGTATTATGTGATAGCTAGATTAACTATAATACTTATATACTTTTTTTGTAAATACACACATAAATATACCATACATAATAATACATAAATGGCGGAAACGCGTGAACATAATACCAAATTGAAAAATGCGACGAAGCATTGAATTGGACAAAAGCTCAGTTCATCCATTGAGTTGACGAAGAGCCACGATAAAACGATACTGTTATTATACAGACCATCCTATAGTGAAAATATCCATCTGTAGTCTGGTTTACCGATTATGAAAACAACGCTTTAATTTCTGATACAAATTTACTGTCACCGTAATCTTAATTTTAGTCTATTTTTCTAATAGATTTTACGTATGTGTAATTGGTCCTCTTCACCTCTGACTAATCCTGTCTGTACGTAAAAGGTAATTATTTCATAAACGAAAATATTTTGTGTTATTAGGGTTCCGTACCTCAAAAGGTTAAAAAGGAACGCTTATAAGATCACTTTCTTGTCCGTCTGTCCGTGTGTCACCACCGATTTTCTCAGGAACGGGTAGATCTAGCAAATTGAAATTTATACCAGATACTGAGGTCTATGGTCCGTATTAGGTGTATAAAAATCAAGGTCCTGAGTCAACACGATAAAAAGATATGGGCAAATCTCGGTTTTCGAAAACTTGTAAGTCCCAAAATTTACCGTAATTTTCGACTTTTTTTATTTTTCAGTATTTTCTCTTTACTTGTGCTGTAAGACCTTGCTTTTAACCAAAATTGATAATTCTAGGTCAACCGGAAGTACCCTATAGGTTTTGGGTCGAAAACCTACATGGTAGTTCCCGTTGACCTAGAATCACGAAATTTGGCAAAAAGAAACGTCTTACAGCATAAATATAGGAATAATTCCAAAAAATAAAAAGAGTTGAAAATTAAGATAAATTTTGGTACTAAGTAACAAATTTTCGCGAAAATCTACGTAAAATCTAGGAAGGTACGGAACCCTCGGCGCTCGAGTTCGACTCGTACCTGACCTTTTTTTTTTTTGTGAACACACAAACATTTCTGATTGATGAGATACTCAATCATAAAAAAGGTCAAATTGAAAACTAAAAATAACAGTTCCAGAATCATAACATACTTTGTGTAAACGTCAAATTGGATATAACTAGAAGATGATAAAAAGAAATAATAAGCAGTAAAAACTTATGAAGTAGAGTACGGACAACTATAAAAGGAACAAAGTGGCATTATAAAATTTAGCCTTCAAGATTTTATTCAAAAGTTTGTCACTAGCAGTAATAGCTTTCTAAGCACTGAATTTTATGGATCAATATAAAACCTCTCCTAAGTGTTAGTTAACCGCAAAATTCTTAAAAGTAGGTTATCTCAACAAAGCTTACAAGTCTCAGTGAGATTATTCCACTGCCGATTAAAAACTTTTGCATCTCAATCTTGAACATTATTGTTCAAAAATTATAGGCATATGTAATGATTTAAATTGATTTTAAATACATTATTGGACTCAGATAACTTTGGTGCTTAAGTGTATGTCTTGTGCATTTGTAACATCCGACTGAAAAAGAAGTCACAGGATTAACGGGTGCATCTGTGGCATCATAACCGCTTAACAGATAGACTGTTTTTGATTTCGTGTTAAAAAAATACTTTATGAAGAGTATGCTCAGCCAATATTCATGAAATTATGTTTAGCTGTCTAAAGATAATTTTCATCATCATAATTTTTCATCTTTGAAAGACTACTTGTCTGATAGATTTAAAGTTTGATATCGTGCAACTTCAATAAACATCTAAAATCATCTGGATACTCAATCAACTCCTTACCAATTCATGGCAGAAGTATACAAATACATTTTTTAAAATAATTTTATTGCTATAGGTACTCGCAATTAAGGACTACGCCTAATTACGGATTACAAATAATCTCAACACAACAACCACAGCTGCAGATCAAACATGAAGTCTTCTGTAACGAATAAGTTCTTCTCTAGTTGAATGCCTGACATCCGAATATAGGATCCTGTTTCACGCTTAAAGATAGATATTAATATATTGCCCGATAAATGTATGTAAGTACATAGTTATTTGTTAATGTTTAATATTGTGAGTAAAATCTGTTCAATAGTCAGTTTATAGTTGACGGGTTAGGAAGCAAATTATTTTTACACGCTCAGAATATTAAACGTAAATTTTGTAAAAAAACTAAGGAAACTTAGTGATTCAAAACTGAGCATCACGGTTCTCGTATTTATAACTTACCATCCCACTAATATAAAATTACGATATTATAAACGAAAGTACCAACAGGTTGTTTATGGTTTGCATCATTGTGAGCCAGTTCAAGGTCTCGTGCTTCCACTGCAATCCGGTGTTTGCGCTCCAAGTAGCCTTCGTATAGCGAAGCGGTGAACATCAGTACGCCCACTATTATTGTTACAGTTCTGAAAAGAAAACATGAATTAACTCCAGCTGGTTAGCTCTAGCTCTAGCTGGTAAATCAAAATGTATCATATATAAGTTATTATAGAGGAATACCTAGCACTATTTTCAAGATTTTGAAATTCATCAATGTTAATTGCAAAATAACCCTCAACAAATCGTCTCACAATAGAAGTAGTAGGTGAACTAAGTTTCCCTATCAATTCGTTTAGCTATCGTATCGTATTACATATTATTTAAATTTAGAATATGATCTGTTGCATAAATACGAGTATTCTGTTGCATAAATAGTAGTTCTCGCATATGTAAACTGAGTCTTAAAAATGCAGTCAACTATCTCGTAGATATAATATTTGTTATTGCACAAACCTTTAATTGATGTTTTATTGTTCTAATTTATTTATATTTGTTTGTTTAAAAAAATCTACCAAAATGCTATGGTTGTTCAAATGCTCAATCTAGAAGATTAAACTTGTAAATATTCTTAGTGTCTATGAAGTATTGTTCTTATAAGCAGTAACACTTCTAATACGTTTAAAAAGGTGCTTGTGAACACTCCAAACCATCGTTATCGCACAGAGTAGGTACGAGCAGGCAGTTTAACTAGGCTCTTGGCAAGCATACAGGTGCTGTTTAATTGGTCATTCTTAGTAGAGCTTGGAAGTATTTATTTTAAATTTTTAGGAGCTTTTTAGTTTTGAAAAACCAAAAAAACACAATACATTTCAACAATTTGTCATATTAAGGCATTTAAAGCAATATGGTATAAAGTATTTTTTACTGTCAAAAACTCTTAAAAAATCTTAAATTGAGGGTTCTAATCCACATAACCATTAAAGCGGACGAAATTCGTGTTATTAAGCTGACCCGGTATGGACTGGCTTGAGAGGCGTCACGAAACCCTCTTATACCGGCTGACGCAGGTGATCACCGTGCAAGGAGCCAACGCCTGAGCGCTACCACTGGCCGCGGTGGCCGGTCCGTGGACACGGCGCTCCACATGTTGACAGAATGTCCGGCGTGGAGCAGAGGCGTGACCTCGTAGTGGCCATCGGAAAGGGAGTCCTCTCGCTCGCTAATATGATTTTTGCACCATGTACCGAGCGAGAGTGTGTTTAACTCCGCCGTCTCCTTCTGCGAGCAAGTTATGCTTGCGAAAGAGATGGCGGAGCGGGACCGGGAGAGGTTTAGAACTCTCCCGGCCCGCTAGGCAAGGGAACGGTCCAGGTACCGCAGACGAATCGGGTGCCGGAGGTCGCAGAATGACCTCCGTCCTCCATAAGCGCAAACCTGGGGGTGACAGGTGAGGTTATCTGTCATCCTAGCAGAAGCAGGCCGGGGTGGCGGAAGCACTTTCGGGAGCACAAAGGGAACATGGGGGTTCCCACACAAGAGAGGATCATCTACACACCGTGGATGGCCCGAGGTACGTCGGGGTACCAGGGATTTCCTTTCTAGGGTACACCTGGTGCCCCGGCTACTGGTACCCGAGACGGCGTGCGGTTTTTGGTCGGTTCGTGTCCGAGGAATAGAAAAGTGGTATTAAGCTCCTTTTAGTATGAACTTACATTTTTAGTTTTTTTAAATATAGCAAAAGATTAATTTACGTCATTTCTTTATCAATTTTTTTAACATCTTTTTCCTAGGTTTCCTGCCGTTGCTTTTTTTTGGTAACACATTCAGGAATAAATAACCTCATAATCGTGTAGCTTTTCTCATTGTTCAATGACGCTTGAGAAATAGATAAAAAAGTGAATAGTATTTTGCTCAACTTACTTGACCCTCCATAACCAGGACTATATACAAAATATATTAAAGTAGTTTTTACTGCGGAAAGAACGAGGGTTAACCTAAAAACTATAAAACCTCTTGGGAATTCAACGCTCATTCGGAAATCGCTCCGGGTGTCAATAGCTCTATTTTTTACATGCCGTTAGTCGGCCTTTTCAGGATGCGCTCTTGTTTTTAAGTATCTTTGTTATAAACCCAATTAAACTTATATGTTACTACATGCTAAATATTTGTTCTTTCACATTTTTGATACATATTTATTCTATTTACGCATTTACCGTTCGAAGTTTACATTGCAATACTGTAAATTACAGAAATTTAAAATATTCTTTGCAGATAAAATTATTATCTAAATTACACAAATTTCTCGTCGTTTCGGCAAATTTTACATTAAGTGTATATTTCACAAGAATCTTTTTACATAAACCGCTGTCTGTACTTTTTATTCAATAAATATAATACTTATAAAGCGCTATAGATTACATAGTTGTATGTTTTTTTCCACTTAAAGAAAAATAATTATATTATACTTTCTGGGAAACCTCTCCCTGGGCTATTAAGGTTTCTTGTGTTCTATTGTTTACTATTAATGGTGTTCTGAAAGGGCATACATAAAATAGCTCATTGTTACAATGACTAACACTGTTACAATATTTTGTAACCTGTGTGCTATTTTATTTTCGCGTAGAAAGCCTTGATTGTAATGTTAACTTTAATTTATTACATTCGCTACAAAAAAAAAAACACAATAACATAGTTATTAATTAAACGTAAGTAAAATACATACTTTATTTTGTTTGTTATCTTACGTCATTTCATAATTTTAAAAACCACTCGTGACCTGGTTTGTTTCAATTTGGCTTAGTAATTTAGAAAGAGAACAATAAGAAATAATTACTAAACAACCTCACTTTCATTTGTTAATTACAATTCTTATTTAAAAAAAACTATTTAGACGTAGCTATCTCTGGAGGAAACAACTACAGGTTTTGTATTGGTCTAAGATCCCGCTGCAGATTTCAAATACATAATTGAATAAATCAAGAGCATTATTTATAAATGCTCTCAATTTTTCTTTTTATCTCGATTTTTGTCTTCTCGATTTATTTTGTCTTTATTTTTTTTATTACATATTATTTACATATATACATATTTATTAAAGTTTTTGTTATGGTTTCTTGAAGCTTCAGCTACTCGATCAATCAGCTTTAAAGATTGACTAGGCAACGCACTACTAACTAAACTACAAGTTTTCTTTAGCAGTATACTTGAGCGAGTCGAGAAAACTACAGCTTGGGAAATGGCCACTAAAAGTTTTATTAATTCTTTAAATAGCAAATACGGACAGCGAACTACAGTATAATAATACTAACATTATGGCATATGAGTAAAAAATAAGTAAGATTTTATATCAGATGTGTCATAGTGTCAAATCAAAATAGGATTTCGATCGTAACATTAACAGACAAGCTTTTAGGCAGAACTTTTCAGCACTTCGCGCCAAATGACATCATTCGCCAGCGTATTAACGTCACTTCAATCAAACCAGTTATGAATTAAAATCAGAGCTTGGGAATGACACCTTTGTCAACACTAAACTTCTTAGTTAGAGAAAAGCACCTAAACAGATGAAAGCTTATATAAAACAGTAGTCGTATATTAAACATAGGGGTTTTGTTATTACCATGACTCAGGACTATTATCCTATCTTGTTTAAAAAGATGTATATGATACATGTAAAAGCGATTGAAACACTATTTTCTACATAAATTTCAAAACCTTACCCAAGTATTTGAAGCTTAGGATCAGCGAAGAGATTATAGTCGCCCGGTACAGGTCGCACTTTAAGAATCGAGAAGGATGCCTCCAGGCCAAGAGATGCAGCACTTTCCGTTGCCGAAGCTTCTGCGGCGCCCAGAAGCATGTTCATTGCACGTGCATCGCAAGATGCCGGCACGCACTCACCAAGCAGCATTAACCTGCTCTAAATAGAAAAAAAGGCATATTATTAACATACTATGCGTGTATAGTTCATGGGAACCAATGATTTTGGAAAAAAATATCTCAAAACATTGAGAGACATCAAATCACTTTTTTATTTAATGTTAAAAGGAGGCAAACAAATAGTCGGGTCATCTGATGGTAAGTAACTGCCACCGCCAATAGACACCTGCAACTGATACTTCGATAAGATGCCTTTAAAGCACCTCCAATTCGACTGAAAACTAGTTTGGTCATACTGCTGTTAGGCCGTACTGTATGATATATTTCATGATTTGGCCAAAACTGACTGTATTCTTCAAACGTGATGATCAGTCAATTCAAGTTTAGTTGTCAGAATGAGCATGTTTTATAAAAGATATGTGAAGAACACTTATGGTTACGGGGCACTGTAGCGTAATATCGAAAATTTAGCTCCGTTTATCACGTTAATAAAAAAATTGAAACAGAATGGAGCGTGGAAAAACGATTAAGTTAATTGTATTTAAAGGAGAAGAACTTTTATCTGTCCGATGTGCATGAATAACTCTTTGTAACATCATTAATCTTCTGAGAATCTAGCTAAATAATGGTTCTTTACAAGAGCACTTTTCAGGAGATTAATACACTTTGCATTCTAGAATTACCTATATTTTTTTTATGTCAGAGGGGGCAGACGAGCAGGCGGGTCACCTGATGGAAAGTGACCATCGCCGCCCATGAACGTCTACAACTCAGGAGTCACAAACGCGTTGCTGGCCTTTTAGGAAGGAGTACGCTCTTTTCTTGAAGATTTGAAGTTCGTATCGGTCCGGAAATACCGCAGACGATAGCCTGTTCCACAGATTGGTTGTGTGGGGTAAAAAGTGTCTCGAAAAGCGCACAGTAGTGGAGCGCCAACTATCTAAGTGATGAGGATGAAAATTTTGCCGTGTGGAGCGATGGCGGAAAGTTGCTGCTGGTATTAGTAAGAACAATTCCTCGGAGCACTATCCATGATATATGCGATAGAGAATGCAGAGTGAAGCCACATCTCTACGTAACGCTAAGGGATCGAACCGATCGGAGATGTTTTGGGCTATCGACAATTCGAGTCGCTCTTCGTTGGATGCTGTCCAGAGGGAGAAGCTGGTACTGAGGTGCCCCTGCATAGAGATGAGAACAGTATTCCATATGCGGCCGGACTTGCGCCTTATAGAGTTAAAGGCGGTGGGCCGGAGTGAAACACTGACTCGATCTATTCAGCACACCGAGCTTCTTCGAGGCCAATTGGACCTAAGTGACCTCGACACTGGACTTCACTCGATATGTTGATGCCTAGGATTCCGATGCTGGCTGAGGCAGTTAGAGATGTGCTCTCACATCGAAGTGATACGACAAATGGTATCTTCTTTGGGGTAAACGCACAGTCCTGTGTCTTTTTTGGGTTAAACTGGACTAGATTTAGTCGGCCTCAATCTGAAACCTCCGCTAAGGAAGTTTCAATTTCAGACACAAGTTTGTTTCAACTCTCGATGACTCGACTATATACTTAAAACCAGAAATACAAAGTACTTATTTTGAACCAAAATTCATTTTTCTGCTATCTATTAAATATTAATTTAAAAACGTAATTTCCTAAGCGTTTCAAAAGCTTCTCCTTGTTCTACTAAATACATTAAACAAGACAACAAGAAAAATATTAAAAGACCAGAAAAACTAAACAGATAACAATTAGATATTTAGGTAGTGTTTTTTAAATAAGTTATTAATTATATGCAGAAGTCAGCATCATTGCGTCGGACCCCGTATATCGTGGGGTGAATGCTTTTGATTGATATTTTTATTTGTCATATCTGTTTAAAAGTTGTATGTTCATCTTGTTTATATCGGTTTAGTTTGCTTTTCACGTTTGAAGATTCTTTTATTAATTTTTACCTCACCATTTGATTTAGTGGTTAGTGATCTTAACTGTTTAGTCAGATGTCGTGTGTTCGATTCCCAACCAGAGCTAATAATATTGTAGGCACGATTATTTCTTCTGTGGCCGTTATTTATCTACTATCTTTATATGTATGTATTTAGATATTTATAAGTATGTTTATCAACCATCTGGTTACCATTTTTTTTAACGTGTGGTAACCTCCTTGGGCCTTCACTCCTCAAAGGTTTTCCGGCGGGACGGTGTATCTGAATTCAACCGACTAAAACCACACGGTATGCCACGCCTGAAATAGGAGGGGTGCGGGAAGTGCTCTTATTAAGACATTGGACCCCTAACGCCGGCTTGCAATAGCAAGTGCACCACCTTCGGATTTTTCCTCTATTTAGGCAACGTCCGGTACTCGCAGACGTCGCCTCCTGGCAGCTGGCTAGTATGGCGGATGAAGGGGAAAAGCCGCCCCACCCACCATAATAGCCATAGCTGAAATTAAAAATCACCAACATTTTTAAATTTTAGAATTACCTTAACAATCTTCAATTTCAGAAGTAAAGACCTAATATACCATAATAAATACCTTCAGCTTTCATTAAACTTCATTAACCGTAAAAAGATTTGTGCACGTTGTTTTAAATATTTAAGATACCAATTTCGATATTATTCGGTAATAGTGTCTCTGTTTAGCAAGACTATATAAACAAACCCATGTATTCTATATTTGACAGGTGCACATCCATATCGGTCGTAAACAGAGATAAAATACGTTCACTTAGGAAATATGTAATTGAATATGTCGGAGACGTGACGAATACTTCTCAGATAATGTATCGTTGTACCATAAAAAGGCAATTTGACTAACAAATTCCTTTTATGATTGATATTTGTATACTGGTATTGCTATCACACCGCCTGCAGTTTCGTATGATATATAAGGTTACCACAGGAATATTTATTTCTTTTTTTTTTAAGACAACTCCCGCATTAGGATTAAATCCTGTGTCGCGGGGGACTTTTCTAACATGACTTGGACTTTTTTATCATGAAACGGACACAAAGAACACCCAGACTCAGAACAATAATTTGTGGATCACACAAAGTGTCGTCCCATGTGGGGATCGGACCCACAACACGGCGTAGTAGTAAGCGCTGTGGCGACCGCTTAAACCAGCAGCAGTTTATTTGAACTAGTACCGTCATTCTTCTTTAATTTAACAGATATAATGATAAATTTAATGAAAGATTATTTAAAATATGGTTTCTCGATTCCTTTGGAGGTCTCTTAAAAGTTGGCCTGTAATTTTGGTAGACTCCTAGAGCGTACTCCTTCTTAAAAGGCCGGCAACGCGTTTGTGACTCCTGAGTTGCAGACGTACATAGGCGGCGATAGTCACTTTCCATCAGGTGACCCATCTGCTCGTCTGCGTGGACACACTTTTTATTACGTTTGAAGGGTCTAACATAAAAAAAAAAAGACCAAGTGTCCTTAAAATCTTATTCTTACTTTGATATTATAAGTACCTATTTCTATAGTATGCTGATATAGGAAGAAATGTTTTTTTTTTACCATTAAGGTTTGTGTTTCTTGAAAACTAGCTTCTGGCCGGTGCTTAGTTTAGGTATTCTAAGAAGATTATATTTTTTAGATGAAATTTCTATAATCGAATACTAATTTCTTTATTTCAATACTTGTTTTGTTGTAAACGAACATATAAAACAAGCGAACAAACTTATATTTGCATTTTTAACATTACTCAGGATTTCGTTTATATTATATGTTATGTGAAATGGTAAATTAGGAAAAATAGTTAGTCTTAGACTTTCAAACAGAATATGTTAACATTACAATCAATTACCTTATTTACTTAGCTAGAGATAATATATTTTTTAACCGATAGACATAATTCTTGTCGTGTTATAGTAAAAGATGATTATCTATCACGGATAATGTTAAAGTACTTGTAACATTTAAAAGGACTAATTCCTCCCGGTTTGATCTGTATATCTGATATAAGTTCGTTACGACCAAATTAGTAAAACGACCAAAAAGTGTTAAAGATTGGTAAGGTTTTATACTTGGCAGACGTCCACGTCTACCCCACATAAGTAAAGATTCATATGTCCACACCGTAGGGTGTACGCCATAACCAAACTGTCATCTGAATACAGAGTATTAGAGTATTGGAAAAAACACTACTGATTCTGGCAGACACAGACATTAAGCTTAGAGACAGCCTACAGATGGCGCTTCCCATTGCCTTTCGTTCACATAACATTTTATATACAAATGCACAAACATTAACATAAGGCGTGTGAGCTCTCATGTAATAAATTATTTAACCTTTCAAAAGATTACGACTTCTTTACGCTATCTTTTATTTATAGGGAAGAATTGATTTTTATATTTAGTACAGTACTAGTAGTAACAAGTTCGAAAATTATTATTAGATCATTATTACTTTTTATACCTATTATCCTGTAGTGTAACAAGTAAAAGCGTTAACCTTTCCGTAATCCTTCGCTTATGTTTCACTTTAGCATTGAAGCAATTATAACGTTAAATTAGTGTATAATGATTGGTTACAACCCGTCTGGTAGTAGGCCAAAACATCCTTTCTAAGGAGCAGGAACAGGAACGATACGCTTGACACAGCTTGCCGCTAACGATCAAGTATAAGTACATCAGAAGACCTAGTGATTGGTGAAGAGTTCAGTGCGGGTCAATCGCAACGCCGAACGCGTCTACCGTGTCGATCGAGTAGATGTGAAATAAACTCACACTAGGCTCCCAGAATACAAAATTGACAAGACCCATTTAAGCCTATAAATATTACTAACATACATTTTTATTGAATTTTAAGACTATTAGTCTCTCAATATAAACATACTAGTATCCTATTGGACACACTCGATAGTGTTTCCAATAGTGTTAGGGGCTATCGATGTAATACATTTTTATAGATCTTAAATATTATTTTATTGTATTTATGGATCTTTTTTTTCCTTAGGAGAACTTCCCGCATTAGGAATATATCCTGTGTCGCGGGGGACTTAACAAACATACATGAAACGGACACAAAGAAAAC